CGCCTCTGGGGGGGGGGGGGTGACACCATTAAGTGCCGCACCGGGTGACACCCGACCTCGCTACGCCGCTGTGCTTGTAGGTTATCAAAACAAAATGCTGTTATCATGTTAACATCATGTATATCATACATTAACACTTCTGTGCTCGCTTTTAAGCAACAGATCTTTTCTGTTGTAAATTAAACATTATCAAAACTTTAGAAATGGTGGAATTTAGCTGTTAAGGGCTCGATTTGTTTGAGAATTAATGTTGGTTCATGAAAAAATAATTTCATTCGGGCATTAAAAAGAGGTTATGGTGGTATTGGAGGTAGGACACAATGGTTACTTTTATGCCAATAGTGGTCATATCATTCATTTTTCTGGAGCCAATATGTCGGGAGTCATTTTGTCAAAAGCCAATATGTCGGGAGCCCAATTGCCGGGAGCCAATATATCGGGAGCCCATTTGTCGGTAGCCAAAATGTCGTGAGCCCATTTGCCGGGAGCCCATTTGTCTTGAGCCCTTATGTCGGGAGCCAATATGTCGGGAGCCGCTTTGTCGGGAGCCAATATGTCCTGAGCCTATTTGTCAGGGGTTAATATGTCGGGAGTCCATTTGTCGGGAGCCTAAATGTCGGGAGCCCATTTGTCGGGAGCCTATATGTCGCAAGTCAATATGACGGGAGCCCATTTGACGGGAGCCAATAAGTCGGGGCCCTTTTGACGGGGCTATTTTGACGGGGTCGGTTTGTCGGGAGTCGATTTGACGGGGTCGTATTAACGGGGCCGTTTTGACGGGGCCGATTTGTCCCGGGCCGTTTTGACAGGGCACCAAACATCCAAACATTTATTATACGAAGCAATAAACAGGCAATGGCCGCTCCGTGGTTTTAACATGTATACCAGGTATTTGTTAAATCATACATACAGTACTATAGACGCAGATGATGCAGAATTTCTGCATGGTCATTATTTAAAACAAAGTGGTGGCAAAACAAACGTGACAATTCACACACAGTTGTTGACATTTGTGATCATAAATAATGTCAATTTAGGGTGGTTTATAAAGTATTCCCAGATGCCAATAGGAATTGAAATATTGTGCTGTATTAATTGTGTTTGTTTGAATTAGGTATCTAAAAATAAACAAAATGAAGCTAACAAGAAAAATAAACCAGGAGTGATCTCCCTTAAACTTTCTCGAATCTATATATATGATTCCCTTCTTGGAGACGCTAGAAAACAAGCTGTAAGCACGCTCTGTACCACCCCACCCCTACATGGTCTGGTGAGCTGTGGTTCATGCTAAATGTTTACAATCGTAGAGCTGGGCTTAGTGAGGGCTATTAGGGGCAGATAATTTAGTTTGAAACGATTTTAAACTTAGTGGAGGTAACTAAGAGGAGGCTGCTTTCACGGGGGGTGTAGGGTCGGGGTTCTGGGAAAGGAGGGTGGGGGTAGTATCATTCTTAACGACCTACTGATAGTGTTTTCAAGTAAATATTTTCAGTGGCAGCATTGGTACTGTCGAATTCACAAATTACGAATTACTGAAAAGTAGAAAATAAAACAACTAAATAGCGGCGTATGATATGCCGCGGGTCGGCTCGTATTCTTATTTAACACTACAGGGGATGGCAACTCGGGATATAGACAAAAAATTTTTAAATCCATTTTTAATTACTTGAACTTTTTAAAATAGAATAGAATCTCGTAGAAAAAAGAATTGCGCACCAAGTGCTCGCCAAATGTGTATAATAGTGAGGAATATAATTAGTACTTTATAAATTCACGTGCATTTTTTGAGAAATCAGAAATAGCGTAAATTGCTACTTCTGGTCAACGGAAATTACTCAAAATTTCACAGAAGACAGAGAATTAGATCTTTACGTGTGTATTTTCATTTATAAATTATATATCAGAATATTACTCAAGTTATAGGCTTTTAAAAAATTGAAAGTGAAAGTAGAAAAAGTTCCACTTCCTGTTATCGGAAATCACTGAAAAGTTGATACAGATCTACAAATTTGATATAATACATAAATGAAACTTTATCAAACTAGCTGTAACAGTATTCAAGTTATCGTGTTTACAGACATAAGGACGAGATTGCAAAACTATGTTTTTCCGACTCAGTTTTTTTGCACAATTACTTTCTCTATACTTCATATATGAGAAAGTAATATGTCACAACAACAAACTAAATTGTAAGTCAGAAGTGAGACATCCATAGGTTGCTATTTATATTAGTCATGTTATTCTTTTATTGATTAAGCCTATTTAATAACATTTAAATATATACAGGCCTACAGATATAAATAAGTTAAAGTTTATTAAGCCTTAAGCACACATATCTTGTGCTTCTTATAACTTTTAAAAATAAATGTAGTCTGATGTAAGATTAGTTATCACTGTTAGTTTAAAAGAGTTACGTATGTTGTTTGACATTTTTACTAGGCTACTTTATTTTATCAAAAATTACTTTGATTTCAATAATTTCATGCATGGTTTTTTTATTGAAGATATATCTTTTCTATTGAAAAGTAGCATACACTCTGTTGTTTTTTGTTAATTGTTTTGTTTCATTCAAAATCTAAAAAGTAAAATTAGGATTAGATTGTTCTGAATAATCTTTTTTTGACGTGCTCTCCAGATAATTTCTTTATCAGTAATTAGCTTCCTTTTTTATTTTCAAACTGTTGAGAGTAGGCTAGTTGATAATTGTAATCTGCGTCTACACTTGCTACATGTAAGCTATACATTTCAAAATGCAATGTAAGCGTTGTGTAAGAGTTACATATGACAAACTAAAGTTAAGACTTAAGTTAAAGATATTAGAATTCTTGTCAAATGTTTGATTTGAAGAAAAGCTGAAAGCTAGATATCTTACTAAATGAAATACCCGCTGTATCAACAAGTCTTATTTAGATTGCCATTGATCTCATGATCTCAATTTCAACACTACTGGCAACTGAATTGAATTTCTCTTTTATTTTATCATTAAGTCTTATTTAGCATCACCAGCATGAAGCTAACTGCACTCCACCCTCTTTGTGGGGCGGAGTAAGGCTGAGAAATTGCTGTTGTGCCAACCACTTAGCAGAAGTGTTATATGTAGAACTGATGATGTTTGGTAATTTTTTTGAAAGCATTATTAACACAATTCCAAAGCATAGATTATAAAGCAGGCACACACGTTTCTTTAAAATCTTTGTTTAGATACTTTAATTATAAAATATTAATTACTATACTTTCCTATAAGTCGATGAGTATTTATTACAAAAATAAAAATTATTTCTCTTATAAGCTTAGCACACAGGGAATGTTATGTAAATTTGTTGATTTGTTGCTGTCAAAGTTGTTGGCCTTTTGAAATAAATTTAACAAAAAAACAATACATCCAGCTTTAACAAATTTAATCTTCTTATCAAAATTAAATATTAAATACACATTATAATATTTACTGCTTAGGCCTTAAATTATTGAATTGGGAAAGTATGAAATTCTAAGATTAAAATTAAACAAAAGCAATAGACATAAAAATGAACCAGCTGTGTAGTACACATCAATCTTATGTATTGAACATCTGGTTCTGTGTTCTATAATTGACATTAACTGTATAATCAAGCAGCTGTATAAAAGTATAGAGAGAAGCTTGGTGAATCCCCTCTCTGTTTTAAGTGTATTTTAATTGCTGAAGATTATTGATGACTCAGACTGTGTTATTAAGATATCTAGGCTTTAGTTTTTCACCTGTAGTGATAATAATAGAAAAAGGAATTCTATCCCTCTTTTATACATTTGAGCTGAAAGTAAAAAATACATTTGAATGTACACACTCGATGTTTGTAGACTGATAAAAAAATGTTGTATTTGTTTAAGTGCTGGTAGCTATTTCCTTATTTGCCTTGTTCTGTGGGAGTATACCTGGACGCAGTGTGCTGAAATGTATACTTTTCAGTGACTTTAAACTTGAAACAATCCACTGTGTTGTCATTCTTTCAGAGTGCTGCGTGGGATTAACCTTCTTCTGCTTTGGATAGGATTTTTGTGTTTAGAAATGCTTTTCAAAATATTAAGTCAGCATTTACTTCAGCGGAGTGGCCTTTAAATGTAATGCTAAGGTGTTGTGAAATCAACCATGAAGTTCTTTTGAAAGAAAGTGCCAACTTTTCAAACACTGAAAAACTTCTTATACCTGTGTACATTAATCCGCTTATGATTAATCACTTAGCACATGACATACTAGAATGAAAGCTGCTGTGTAGTGATTTGCATTTATACATAAACAAGTTATTTTCAGAATAGCAAACATAAAATAAATAAACCTGTCATACATAATGTTAATTATTATCAATTCTGAATTGTATTTTTGGGTAGTTAAATAAAAATAACGAGCCGGCCCGCGGCATAACATACGCCGCTATTTAGTTGTTGTTTTTTCTACTTTTCAGTAATTCATAATTTGTGAATTCGACAGTACCAACGCTGACACTGAAAATATTTCTTTAAAACACTATAAGTAGCTCGTTAAGGACCATAACCCCCCCCCCCCCCCTTCCTCCCCCCCCCCCCCCCCCACGTTTAAAATCGTTTCAAACTAAATTATCTGCCCCTAATAGCCGTCACTAAACCCAACTCCACGAAGGTAAACATAGCGTGAACCACAGCTCACTAAGATCATGTAGGGGTGGGGATGTTAGGGAGCGCGCTTGCAGCTTGTTTTCTAACGGCTCGAAGAAGAGAATTATATATATAGATGGTTGTAATTTAGACATCAAATCATTGATAGTGTGCCAAAAAAATCACCAACACAAATCCTATCCTATTTAAATAAATTCTGTAGAAAGTCACTTGGCTATAACTGGCTCAATGCAACAGTGCATTTTTTCAGTATAAGAATACTTTTATAACAATCAGTGCCCACTGATGCATTGCTCCATTGATTAAAGGCTGCTGATACTTGGGGAACAAGTAAACAGCGTTGAAGAAAGTGTTTAATTTTATGAACAATAGTTTGTATTTTATAAAAATAAGTAAATCTGTTTCTTAACTTCAGATGCAGACAATTTTTTTATGGGTGAGAAAAAGTTGTTGGTTAAAAATTAATTATAACTATTAAAAAAAACCTAGGAAATTATTTGAAATAATCAAAATCATACACATTTATTTGTCTTTATATAAACTTTTGCTTTATAACATTTTATTATATTTTTTAGGAATGATTTTTCTCAACCTTTCTTAAACCAAGCTGAGGAAGAAATTATTTTCTGATAGGTTAGTATGAGATGTAATGCCTTATTCTACTTAAGATTGTGTGTATAAAATCTAGAGAAGTTTGTAAGAAGCAGATATTTATATTGGGGTAGGCTCCAAATCTGAAGTAAAATAATTTTAAATTAACATAGTTACCATCACACTTATGTTCCAGACAAAGAACAATAAGAAAATACATTTTTACTTTTGGTTTGTATGTATAGCTCCAAATGATGTATATTGTATTTTAACTTTAAATTTTATTGATGTTAAGTCTATGCTTGATTAACTTATTTTCCTCTATGACTAGATCGTAACATGTGAAAAGATGTACTGTGTGTAGCGTGTGCTCTTGATGTGGGAAAGACTGGAGGATATTGTGTTGTGTTCATTTTTGTACATATTGTAACAAGTAAGTAGTACAGATTTCATTTTTATACCTTAATTTCTGGTTTGTTGTTTAGTTTACTTTGTGACTTGAAATCCCTGAAAGGCCTTGTTATTGGAGATCCTGGTTTAAATATTTCTTTTAAGATGCATCTGTGTGGCAGTACAAATCATAAACAACTGTGTCCTGAGCTTGGTTCTAGACTTAAACCTCTATGATGTCCCTCACAGCTGTAATGGGTACCTGGCTAGTTGGGTAAAGTCTGTAAAGGTGGCTGGACGTACTGCTTATCACACAATTCCCTTGTTAGTGTGTAATTAAAAAAAATGACAACTAAGAACATCTTATCTGAAATAGAGCTTCACTCCAGCCAGGTTTGGGCTTAATTACTGACATATTATTCAGTTGTTCTGCACAATTTGCTGTGTGAACCCATCTATTTTTAAGTGGTTAATATTTTTTTTAATTCATAGGTGTCTTTATTGTTTAAATTAATATTTTAATCTGATTAATGAAGCTGGTAACGGTGTTTCAATAATTCAACCATAAATATCACTGGTACAACTTGTTTGATTTTGATAGAACAGCTAATCAAAAAATACCATGTTTATAATTAGTTTAACCTCTCTTAGGTATAATTTTTGCATCGGTCACAGCTGATTAAAAAAATGACCTCCCTGGAAGATTTCTATGAAGGGGTCATCTCCCAGGACACCAAGCGTCGTCTACAGACCCATTCGGACCTGGTTCCATTTCTCAGTGACCCTCGCAGCTCCCTAGAATGCCACCAGATCAACATTGATCAGATGATTGAGGGACTTTCAAACTGGGTCAAAAGTAGTAACTTCAAGGTGAGCACATCTTTGCATTGTTTCTGTCAAACTGGGTCAAGGTGAGCACATCTTTGCATTGTTTCTGTCAAACTGGGTCAAGGTGAGCACATCTTTGCATTGTTTCTGTCAAACTGGGTCAAGGTGAGCACATCTTTGCATTGTTTCTGTCAAACTGGGTCAAGGTGAGCACATCTTTGCATTGTTTCTATCAAACTGGGTCAAGGTGAGCATATCTTTGCATTGTTTCTGTCAAACTGGGTCAAAAGTAGTAACTTCAAGGTGAGCACATCTTTTAGTAGTTTCCGTAACAATTTCAAAAATATTTTTCTTCCACTTGAAATTTTGACACATTGGTCAAAAAATAGTGACTTCATCTTCTTACTTGTGGTTTGTTTCCTCATTTTAAAAAAAATGTTCTTGGTTTTGAAATATTGATTAACATGTATAAAAAACCAGTAACTTTTCAAGGTGAAGGCATCTTCATGTGATTTCTATTTTAAACATTATTTTAAGGCAATTAAACATTGGGTTACAATTTTATAAGAAAGTACTTTAAGTTTAAGTGAGTCTATGATTAAAGTATTTCATTTTTACAAATTATTTGTTTGTAACATCATTGGTTGGTACATTTGGGTTGATATTGAAGTACTAGAGACAAAATTAACAACTTTTTGGGTCATTTTCTTGAAACATGACCTCAGTTGGAAAATAAATCCCTGTTTCTTCGATTGTTTAATTAGCGTACTTCCCAGTTAAACTTCAAGGACCTAGAAATAAATAAAACAACATTCAGATTCTTGAAATCAGCACTGGCAAGAAAAATACATAAATTTAACTCTTAACCACCCAAAAATGAATCATTTGCCAAAATCCTGATATTTTCTCTTACTTAACTGTAGTTAAATGTATTATTATAGTTGAATAGTATTTTATTGAAAGATACATTTTAGTAGGTATTCCATTGCTTTTTCTTGTATTATTTTCTTCAATCTAAAAATTATGGACTGAAAAGAGAAAGTGTCGATTCAAATCAGAATATCAATTTTGCTGATAAAAATATTTGATAGTAAAAAAATGTGATATGTTAATACTGACAATACATATTTTATAGTTCTACATTTCTGATAACCTATCCACGTAAGCTGTATTAATAGATGCCAAAATGGTGACCTGATAAGGGGATAATTTATCTATGGAATTTGCTTAGGGGTAGGGGAGCTCAATGATTTTTGCTGCTTTCTAGAATTGCCTACAACTAGTGCTTTTTCTGGTTTTAGTGATGGTTTTACTCTTTGCGTTGCATTATCCATGACTATTAAGCATCATCCTTGATGGATAGATCATAGAGATAATCCATGGGTTCAGCTATGACAGGTTGTATCCATGCAGTTGTTTGAATAGATGATGCACCATCATCCATGTGGTATTTAGCTAACATACTCATGGTCAATATACTGACTAATCCACACTCCATAAAACATGCATGTTGTCCTTTATATGTTATCCATAGTATGAAGACAGTATTGTTAGTGTTGACGTGAACAAAATAGGGGTAGATGATATTTGAGAACCGGGTTTTCATTAGTGGTTAGTGGCGATTACATGAATGGTAGTAGTGGCACTATTCACCGTACAGTAGTGACACTATGCACGTAGCAGTAGTTGCAAAATTCACGTGGGTAGTGGCACTATTCACATATGGGTAGTGGCACTATTCACTTGTGCTTAGTGGCATTATTTCATGACAGTAGTGGCAGTAAACGCTTCACCCATGTCATTCTAAGATCGATCATCAGTACTTATTTCCGCATCATCTCTATTAAGTTGTGCTTGGGTCACTTATTTTATGAAATAGCTCCAGCATTTTGAGACAAATTCCCCACCATCGATCGACTGATGCTTGTGGCTGCTTGCTGTTCTGGTGTTCTATATTTGGTGGTGTGGGGGATCCCTTTCAGCCAGACCCAGTCACAAAAATCGATATCTCCTCCTCTGTTATCTAGGCCTCCCACAAGAGGCCAGCACACATCTACCTCAACACTGGCCGTATGGTGATTACATTTCGACTGCTAGATCGGAACATGGACAATGTGGTTTTTTTAGTGTACTCTCGTTAGGATTTCAGTTCTTCTAATGGTGTGGGTGTTAGATTTTATTGTTCGATATGGATACATGCCGCTGGCGTCTGATGACGTCGGGTGTTTACTTTTCTGCTCATTGATGCCGTACCGGAAGCCTGAACGTTTTACAATGATAGAGGAAGCAGGCCAAACCGTTTGATTGAGTTGTTTATGTTGTAGTGGTAAGCTGTCGCTCCTGTAGCAGACGTCGCGAGTACTTGAACAGAGATTAGTTTTTTGTGTGTTTGATCCTAATGCAGATAAAAATAAATTATGAACGGCTGTTTGGTTAAACAGGAAAGGGAAATAATATCTAGATCTACCATGTATTCGAATAGCTAGTATTTCCAAACCAGTTCTACTTCTATGTGATAATTGTTATCAGCGATTCTCGCTATTCGAATCTGTTGTGTGGGCTAATCTAGTGTTTTTCACGCATAACAGGAAAGGTCCATAGTTTTAAAAAAAAATCGCGATACATCAATGATGAGCGGTTTGAAAGCTAGATCGATATTTTTCTACCTAAATCTGGCCTTGAAAAAAAAAAAAATCAAGCAACTTTTTTCCCCGACGGCGGCTTTTATTGAAGTTAATCTCTCATTACTTAGCATAATCCCAGTTGAGTCTGTATTACAACAGATCTACACGCTTCACTGTAGTGTTTGCCTGAATGTACTCTGTATTCTGTTGCAAGAAAAAGAATGTGTACATCTGTAACTGTATTAAAAAAACATTCCACTTCTTCCTGTTATCTGGTCTAAACCCAGTGACCCACTTGCTGTGTCAGAGATAAACCAGGTGTGTTGTTCACCTCGCCATATTGTGTTGTCCACTTTCTATTGTTGGGGGTCACGCCTCGGGTATTTCATTCATCCTTTTGTTCGCTGCTGGGCTGGTCATTCATCATCAGTCGCAACTTGAAATTGCCGTGGATAATTTAATTGTGTTATTAGCAGACGTGATATTTTCACCGGAAGTTACGTGTGCTGTCCAACGTGTGTTGCCGTGTTTTATTGCATAAGTTGTGACATTTGGTATCTTCTCTACAAAAGCACACCAAAGGTTACTCACTTTGAAAATTGTACACTATGGTGTTTTCTTTTTTTTTTTTTTTTTTTTTTTTTTTGTAGTGAGGTTCTTATTCCACCTCTTTCCGGTTTTATCGTATTAATGAACAACCTTCTAAATCAAATTATGGCCTTTGTAATGAATATGTGATGATTGTGTCGTTTAATGTGTGTCGCGTGAGTGTCCGTGTAATAATGGTCTTAAACGAGTGTCGTTTGTCACGGTTGTCATTAACGAGTGTGTTGTGTGGCGAGAGTAACGTGTTACGAGTGTCTGTGTAACGAGTGTGTCGTGTGTGCTGTGTCTCTGTTGTCATGTGTCGTGTCACTAGTGTCGGTGGTCCATGTCACGAGGACCCCCCCCCCCACACACACACCCACCTGTAGCACGTGCCCTACCTGTGCTGTCCTGACATAGATCCGTGTCTGGCTGCTGATATACAGGGATTAGTCCACTTGTTTACGACCTGTTAGAGCACACTCTTATAAATGGCGTTATTGATTGTCTACTCACCACGTACAAATAGAAATGACCTTGTGACCCTGTTGTGCACCTAACACTTTGAGCACAGCAGATGGTAGTAAACCTTTGGTGGAGGTTTTGTTTTTGTGGTTCGGAATTAGAAAATAACTGGATGTATGGTCGTTTTTTCAAGCCTGGATTATTTGAAGACTTAATCAAGTACACGTTGTTAGATTGTTGTATTGTTTATTATTAAATTGTTAAAGAATGGTTTGTTTACTTAAAAAAAATTGACAAGTACTTGGGATGCATTTGTTGTCTAGTGTTTACCTTCTAGGTGGTAACAGTTGCCGACTTGATTTCGTGTATAGATAGTAGTTGTAATGATCTCTTATTTCGCTTGTTTTTGTAACACACTACCCGCCTTGTTGACCTATATTTTGGTTGAATGTGTTACAACATACCCACGGCCGTATTGACCTTTCTTTTGGTTGTGTGTAACAACACACTACTCGTGTTGACCTATATTTTATTTGCATGTGTAACAACACACCACTGGCCAAGTTGACCTATATTTTGTATGTGTTACTATAACACCGGTCGTGTTGACCTTTTGTTTTGGTTGTATGTGTAGCAACACACTACCCGTCGTGTTGACCTATATTTAAGCTGTATGTGTAACAACACATTACCTGCCGTATTGACCTATATTTAAGCTGTATGTGTAACAACACACTACCAGCCGTGTCGACCTATATTTAAACTGTATGTGTAACAACACACTACCAGCCGTGTTGACCTATATTTAAGCTGTATGTGTAACAACACACTACCAGCCGTGTCGACCTATATTTAAGCTGTATGTGTAACAACACACTACCAGCCGTGTTGACCTTTTAGTTTGTATGTGCAACCGCGTATTACTATCAGTGCCGTATAACGAACACTATCTGCTAATATTCTGCGTTAAGTTTGTTATTTAGAGAACTGTGATGATTGCATCCTTAACAGCTGATACAGCACAACACGGCTGGCTATAACATTGTTGTTTATCAAGTAGAAAAGGTCACGCTAGCCCAGACAGAAAACTCTGACACTGTATGATCAGTTCGTCTTCAAGTACCAGAATCAACTCGACCATCACCGTAGTTAATTTCCCGTTTAATTTCATGCATGTACGGTGACTAGGCCGCTCTAACGTTGGGCGTGAATAAATATTGAAAGGGGGTTAGTCAGGTTCTTACAAAGACACGCGAACAAATAGTCCATCGAGTAACCTAGGCCCTAATTGAAATACCTCGTTTTGACTAGCTGTCTTTAATTTTAACCGCTTCACACCTATCTGCTTGGTGAGTTATAAAGGTCATGGTCATTTCTTGCTATATTAGCTTGACATGCACACCTGAGAAAAAAAAAGTATCAGCATTTAATTGCTGTGTGAAAATAATTTCGGTTAAATATCGTTTTCGTTTTTAGATCGCAATATATCGTTATTTAAAAAAAAAAATGTTGGCTGATATTGAAAACACGTTAATTGAAGTTAGTATGATAATTATAAACCTGAAATATATTATAAAAGCGCTTAAATGATTATAGATTAACAACTTAAAAATAGACGTTGTTCTCGTGGGTTTATTTTTTATCAAAGAAAACAAACTATGCCCACGTTTGAAGCTCGCCTAAATCAGTATTTGTCCTGACCGGTTTTTCTCCAATCTTGTATTTGTCGTGTGCGTCACGAGTCTGACAGAGACCGTTAGTTCTGCTGATTACTTTCATTGGCCGGCCATACCTGCATTAGGCCGGCCATACCTGCATTCAGGGGGGACAACGCGAATCCTCCTCACCAAAACGCAACGTCTTCAAAGCCGCCGTGACGATCGGATGTGTCAGCGCCAGTGACCGTGTCCCACCGTGGGCCTCTAATTTGTGCTGGATCTAACCACGACACGCATCTGTTGTTTGCCCGACCGGTTCACACCATTTTCTACTGCCACTCGTCTATTTATATATCTCCATTTTTTTTCTTTTTCTAGTCTAGGTGATTGGTCTATTGACGGAGTGGGTCATGTGCTTCTATCTTTACGTTTTTTTTTGTAATTGAAATTTTTTGACACGGTGTATACTTGTCAATATGTATACATGTCGATATCTAGCGGTTTGAAATATAGGCTAGGCGTGTATGACATGGATTATCTTGACGTTTTGCCTGGAAGGCGAAACGTTTTTTTTTTTTTAGGTTCGGTATAGAGTACACTTAGAGAAACAGACCGTAAATATTGTGTGTAGAGGGATCGGTGTGTGTACATTTGTGTATGTGTAGTGTGTACACAGAACATTGTGTGTAACTAGGTACTTTGATGTGGCGGATATTTACATTGGTTTAACTGATGTTAGTGTTTATATATGTGTACATTGATAGGTCTGTATACACAGAATAATGTGTGCCCAAATATGTTAAGGCTAGAAGGCTGAAAAATTAGTTGTCTGTTAGCAAATAATAGTTCTATTTGCCTTGTTGTGTAGATGATACTGTTTTTATTTGGTGTATCTGTTTTGTATTTTCCAAGTTCAGTGTGCTTTATGGTTCAATATATTTCCAATTGTTTTGAGAATAGTATTTTAACAAATGTAGGCCTATATGTACTTTTTGTATGTCCATATGTTAGCTGTTGGGAACTTTTACGTGTGGTCAGTTTCAGTAATTTTTACTTGTAGTCAGTTTTCAGTAATTTTTACTTGTGGTCAGTTTTCAGTAATTTTTACTTGTGGTCAGTTTTCAGTAATTTTTACTTGTGGTCAGTTTTAGCTTTCATATGTGGTCAGTATTCAGTAATTTTTACTTGTGGTCAGTTTTTAGTCATTTTTACTTGTCACTTTTCAGTACCTGTACAGCTGATCAGTGATTAGTTTTCAGTGATGTTACCTGTGATAACTTCTGGGTACAGGTTCTAATCTATCTTTGGATGAGATATTTCATGTAGATATTGTGAAATCTTTGGATCTAATGAATCACCATTTTAAACAGGCTTTGACTTATGTTCAATGTGCTGGGCATTAGACTTGTAGCTTCTATTAATTTTGCTCCTGTTCATTGATATAATGCTAGCACCACTCATGCAACAGTTGGCTGACAGTGTATTGTGGTAGCTACACAACTAACATGAGGTATGAAAACAGTATTTAGTTAGTGGCTGTGACCCAGCTACAATGATGACTAGTAGTTGAGTGTTGGATATATGAAGTGAGAGATTCCTAGTGTCCCCGTGTGTTGGATTACAAAGTGCCTTGAGCTGCCACCATGCCTAGGGATGAGAATATGAGTACCATCAGGGAAGAGTTGTACCGGCAGACGACAGAGATGCCTCTGTCTCCCAAAGTCTTACAGCACCTAACGGTAAGAGAGAAAAGACAGAAACTTTCTAAAGGTCTTTGTATGGTGATACTTTTGTAACATTGGTTTGTAAACACATGCAGTGTTGTTACTATTGTAACATAGGTTTGTAAACACATGCAGTGGTGTTACTATTGTAACATTGGTTTGTAAACACATGCAGTGGTGTTATTGGGTATTTTATAGGGAAATGTATCACACATGAGCAGCTCGTTATGTTCCAGGATAGTCAGGTAAGAGTGGATAGAGATTTGTATTACACCTTTCTTCAAGAAATACAAATCTGATTTGAGAAAATTTCAAGTTATTTTTTTTTCATTTACCATCAGGCTGGTTAAAAGAAATATTTTATGCTTGTTTTTAATCAGATATTGTCTAATAATATAACAGTTTGTATCTCAGCCTGAGTGCTGAGATTTGAAGAAGCTTTTTATTTTATAATTCAGAACAATGTGGGTAATCGAAATATGTTAAGTCTCAAATAATATTATTTGTATGTGACATACATAAAATGTGATATATATACTTATAGCTGAAGCATTCATTATGTTGCTGGGGCATTGTTTCACAGAAGAGGTATATTTAAAGTAACATGGCCAGCTAAAGTGTTTGTGTACATATCAGCTAAAATGTATTTATGTTTTTGGTGCTGAAATATTCATTTACAAATTCCAATTTTTTTGTTGTTGATGTCATAAATTGATGAACATTATTATATAAGCTTATAAAAATACTTCTTAAGAGTTTACTTAACCATTGGTTGGTTTACTATACTGCCTAAATAGATTCAACATATTTTCCATGTTGTTATCATGTACTGTTTTATTCTTCTTTTGTTATCAAGCAACAGTAATGCAAGCTATTTAAAGCCCCTGCCTTCAGTGTGCTCTTGCAATAGGGCCTGATCAATCTGAGCAGCCCAATTCACTGCCATGGATGTTGCGGTTTACCCCGCTAGTTAGATTTGTTTACCTGATTGTTTAAGAGAGTAAAATATTGCGTTTGTTGTCCTCAGGTGTCCCTGAATGGGCTGGAGGTCCTGTGTTTGATGGTGGACCGCATGGGGGAGAACTTTAGACCACATGTGACAACAGTCCTGCCTGCTGTTATTGACAGGCTGGGTGATTCCAAGGATCAGGTCAGGGACATGGCGCAGCAGCTCTTGTTAAAGCTGATGATGCCGGCGTCCACACCACAGGTAGGTGGGGGGGGGGGGTGTGTACGTATGACAAGGCAGGTGGGGTGTACACATGGCATAACAGGGTGGAGTGCATGATGACAAAACAATATAGGATGCATGATGACAAAACAATATAAGGTGCATGATGACAAAACAATATAGGATGCATGATGACAAAACAATATAAGGTGCATGATGACAAAACAATATAAGGTGCATGATGACAAAACAATATAGGGTGCATGATGACAAAACAATATAAGGTGCATGATGACAAAACAATATAGGGTGCATGATGTCAAAACAATATAGGATGCATGATGACAAAACAATATAAGGTGCATGATGACAAAACAATATAGGGTGCATGATGTCAAAACAATATAGGATGCATGATGACAAAACAATATAAGGTGCATGATGACAAAACAATATAGGGTGCATGATGTCAAAACAATATAGGATGCATGATGACAAAACAATATAGGATGCATGATGACAAAACAATATAGGATGCATGATGACAAAACAATATAGGATGCATGATGACAAAACAATATAGGGTGCATGATGACAAAACAGTATAGGATGCATGATGACAAAACAATATAGGATGCATGATGACAAAACAATATAGGATGCATGATGTCAAAACAATATAGGATGCATGATGACAAAACAATATAGGATGCATGATGACAAAACAATATAGGGTGCATGATGACAAAACAGTATAGGATGCATGATGACAAAACAATATAGGATGCATGATGACAAAACAATATAGGGTGCATGATGACAAAACAGTATAGGATGCATGATGACAAAACAATATAGGATGCATGATGACAAAATAGTATAGGGTGCATGATGACAAAATAGTATAGGGTGCATGATGACAAAACAAGGTGGGGTGTACACTATTTTTCTGTTTTATTTGTTGGACAAAATGTTTATACTGGATGCTTAATACCTTTTTACTAATTTAATAATTAGGTACTTTTTTAAATAAAAGGGCAAACCATAAAGCAGTTTTTAAAATGTTCGAAACATACAAATTATAATAAGTCAACAATTCTGAAAGATTCTATACATCTGTAAATGGGTGTAAAACTCCAAGTAATGTCATAAAATCTAAGTTAAGATTTGTAACCACAGATTGAAATGTTAATTAATGTAATTGTATTATACCCTAGTCTTGAAACCCTTGTAACACCATTGTAATTGTGTACCAATTGTTTCTGTTCTGCAGTATGTGTTTGACAGACTGGGTCCAGCCTTTAGCCACAAACTGTGGCATGTTAAAGAAGGAGTTCTGCTCACACTACAAAACACAATCAATAGGTAAATTACCAGCTCACATTGTGTTTTCATCATGCTAATTGAATTCTTTATTCAGTAATATCACTGGAGTCAATAGGTTTTCATTTTGGTTTAATTTTAAAAAAGGCAATTTCAATACTGATATTGATTAGGTCAGAGGCGTAGCGAGGGGGGGGGGGTGCGGACTGCACCGGGTGACACCATTTAGGGGGGTGGCACCAATGCAAAAAATAGCAAAATATATAGAGTAAAACTTGAGGGGGGGGGGGGGTGCAAATTGAAAGTTGGGGGGGGGGGATGTGCAAATCGAAAATTTTAAAGTTTGTCCCAGGGAAGGGTCGCTACGCCTCTGGGGGGTGACACCATTAAGTGCCGCACCGGGTGACACCCGACCTCGCTATGCCACTGGATTAGGTATTAGATTATGGTTGTTGTGATAAAATAATTCCACACTGTGACACATCTTCTTACCTAATAAAAATGAAATGCTATAATGAAAAATATTTTTTAACATGAAAAGTGAATAGAATCAAATGTGACTCATCCTATTTACAACTTTTTCAATCTTCCTTCCTTAAACAATAAAACTATCTGTATTTGAAAATCTATTCAAAACTCAACCAAAAACCGAACTATTTCATGACCTCCTGAACTGAATCTTAGCAATGTTTCTCATTCATTTGTTTTATCCTTATTTTTTTCCCACTATATATTCCAACTATGATAACATTATTTCTTTACTCCACATTTTAAATGCTATTTTACTGTTTTCAATATTTAAAGGTTATTTTAAAAAGTATGTCATTAATAAGTTTTTTACTAACCGCCAGTGTGAGCATAAAGTTTTTTAAAATTATTATTGTTGTTATTTAATTTTATCTGTATTTCCTTGAACAGATACGGTGCTCGCTGTTTGCTACTTTCAAAGATAGTTCCAGATATTTGTAAATTGTTAGATGACCCAAGTCCTCAGGTAAGATTTTCATTCACTTTTAAATATATCTAAACATCAGCTTCAGCAAGCATCACCTTTGTTCTAATGTTGAACCAAGTGGCCATTTCATGCATGTTTGTATTATTCCCACAGGTTAGAGAGGCAGCAACCTATGCCATTGTAGAAATTTATCGGCATGTTGGTGAAAAGGTTAGACAAGATCTCAAAAATAAGGGATTATCTCAACAAAGGTGAGCTTAACACATCAGAACGAAATCCCTGAATCCTGACTTTTGTCAGCTGGTAGACAAAGCTCTACAAAGTCATTAAATCCTGACTTTTTTTCAGTTGTTAAATCAATTGTATAAAACATTAATGTTCACTAGCTATGTGTTAATATAATAGGCTTAGCATAACTTAATTAAATTGTCTGATTAAAGGGAATTAACCTTTTTACCTCAGACACTGAACTAGAAATTATTTTATTGTGGGAAAACTTGGTTTAGTCCCCTGAATGTTTGAAGCTGTTTACTTAAGGCTATAACTATAAAAATGTTCTGAATAAATAGATGTTTTAGTTCTATTGATGTGCATTCAGACAGATAGAAATCTAATCTTCATTGTTAATGCAAACATTTGGTTTGAATGTTTCTAACCCTTTATTGCTAAAGTAGCCGTTGGTACCCGTTACACGTGAATTATAGGCCTATATATTTTAATGCTTTAATACAATATTTTAATGTTTGAGAAAAATATTTATAAAATAGTTGAACGATATTAAGCCTCAAAAATGTTGTGGACAGAGAGAGAGAAGAGTGCACATGGGCTTTTATATATTAGGATAGTTATTTTTGAGTTAATTTATATCTTATATAGAAAGCCATCAGATAAAAAGCAATAGTTAAACAATTAATGACAAATTATTATATCAACAAATTTCTTTTGCAATTATTTGAATTGAAGTTTTTGTTTCTATTTAAATGTTTGTATTTCCACAGAATGACTCACTTGAATGGGAAGTTTGAGGAAGTAAAATTATCAGGAAATATGCTGCCCACTGCTGATGTTGGTAAGTGTATCATTATAAATTCTTCTTTGCTAGATATAAGTGTTGTCAACTACATAGTAATTTTTACTGGCTTGCCTACTCTTATTACCAACTTTTTAAGTTTTTACCCTCCACAGGCTTGTTTCCATCTTGTCAGCTGATTAAATATAGAATTACCTCCCTTGTTACAATTTTTTTAAATTTTTTTTTTTAATTTTTAATATTGTTTTGAGCAGCCGAAACAAGCATACATCTTTCTTTCTAAACAAAAAATAAAATATGTTAAATTTAAATATGTTAATCAACAAAGAGGGTTAAAAAGTTTTGTGTACTTCAACCTTTCTTCAACTTACTGCTTTTAACTTACAAAAATACAATTTATCTTAAATACAGCTTTTCTATTGATCACCTGGTATTAGATATGTGTTATGTAAAAGATCATAATGTAGATCAAACAATAGTTATACCAAATATCTTATTAACAAAGGCATTTACTTTTTTATATAATGTTCTGTTATCTAAAATCTATCGGGGGGGGGGGGGGGGGGGGATGGTTCTGAAATATTTAATTTTTAACTTAGCTTCATTATCAATCCACCTGCATGCACATTCATTGAAAAATTAGCAATGTGAATCCCACTACTTTATTATATAATACTGTACACTCAGTCATCTCCTTTTTTTCATATGAAATGAAGCTCAGCCTCGTTTTAATAATAATCCTCCCTTTAAAGACTGAGAGATCTGTTAGTGTTGTACATTTCTTTAATGATATGTAAATTATGTAAATCGCAGTTGGTCGCTGCTACTAATTAACTATTCATTACATCTCTCTGAGGCAGTTATTACCGTGTAAATGTGACTGATGACTCGCTTTCACTGGGTGACCTCCCTTTGACAATAAACCTTCCCGCTTATTTTATTTCGTTTTACCTCCCTTTCGTAAGTTTACGTTCAGCATATCACTACAAATACAAATCCTTAGTTCCTTGTATCAGTTGTAAAATACAGCACATCATCCCTATTACAAGAATATAAAACTCCCTCCTTGTTATAAACAAAGTTACCAACTATATTTCATACAACAATACCTCCCTGTTAAATATAATATAGTACTCCCACCCTGTTAGAAACTATGTAACAACATCCTCATTGTTAAAAACCATATAACACAATTGGTACTTACAATTTACACTGCCACCTAGTGATATACATGCAGATCATCCCCACAATTTTAGTGATTAACCTTCATAATACCTGTTGAGCTTTCAGGTGACCGTGCAAGTACTGGTATCATATTTATACTTTGTTTTCTATCATTCTCAGCATTTTACGTATCATTATCATTGATACACTTCTCTTATGCAACCATCTACCTACCTGCCCCCTCCCTCCATTGTATCGTTAAACTAGTACTTGTAGCAGATCTATACCTTGCTGTGCTACCTTACCCAACCACTTCCGTATCATTATCACTGATACACTTCTCTTATGCAACCATGACCATCTACCTACCTGCTCCCCTCCCCTTGTATCGATATACTAGTGCTTTTAGAAGATCTATACCTTGTTGTGCTATCATACCCAACATCTTAAGTATTATTACCCCTAATGCAACCATCCACCTACCTATCGCACACCCCCCCCTACCTATCGCACACCCCCCCTTACCTATCGCACCACCCCCCCCCCCCCTGGTTGTCACTAACAACCACGACCAGCGTCGCCACCAGAACGACTAGCGATAACGGCCCTACCACTCTGACCTCTATAGGACACTGACCAGCGCGTGACCCCGTGTAGCGCTGATACAGTTGTCAGGTTAGCTGCTGTGGTTTGTTTGGTGTCAAATTCCATCGCTGGGGAGGAGGCTATGATTTTTTTATATGTGTCCGTGTGTAAGTAGATACCGGGTGTTAGTTGTGCTACTCAAGTTATATTTTTAGACCAGAGCCACGGTTAGACAGGAAGTGAATGGCTGTGATATTAGCTCGTTATGGCGTTTGGGGAGAGGGAAGGGTAGTCGTGGAGATTTGTTAAAGCCGTCAGTGTAATAATTTTTTTTTTTTTTGAAATCGTCTCTTATATATTTTTGTGTGCTGAAACTAAGTCAGCTTATTTTGGTGTTGAAGCCGTCAGTCAAATAAGTTTTGGTTTTATGTGTGCTGAAATTGTCAGTCAACTTATTTTTGGCGTATAAGTCGTCAGTCACCTGCCATGCAAATCCACGTGATTTACCCTTATAAGCATCTACTTTAGCCAGAACTGATACTACGAAGCTGTTTGATTATAAATATAAAGGAAGTGGTCGTTTAGTTAAAATGTTGTTGCAGCCACCGCTTCAAGTTAAGTTTGGCCTCTGTTGTTGTAGGAAGAGATATCGTAACGTAGCAAGATCCATGTTGGAAGAAATATTGTAACGCCCCTTTGTCGGAAGAAAAAAATTGTAACGTCGCTATGTCGAAAAAAATATTGTAACGACGCTATGTCGGAAGAAATATCGTAACGTCGCTATGTGGAAAGAATTATTGTAACGTCGCTATGTCGGAAGAAATATCGTAACGTCGCTATGTGGAAAGAATTATTGTAACGTCGGCTATGTCGGAAGAAATATTGTAACGACGCTATGTGGGAAGATACATGGTAACGTCGCTAATGTCAACAAAGATTTTTTCTTCTCTCTACCAGACTACGGTCACAGCTTGCCTTAATTCATGCTAATGTATGTGGTGGATGCACGCGATTGATATGGAAATAGGTTAGCCTCCATTCGTTCTGGCTGTGTAGCAACCGTCTCATTAAAGCAGTGGGAAGTTGTCGTTTTTTTTCTTCTATTGTATTATCAGCAATAGTGTCAAGTGTTGATGTGTGGCTGATTGGTTGATGTATGCAGTTGTAATTATAGTAGTTAATTGTATGCATTGAGCGTGCGGTTTTATGTGGGATACAAACTTTACAGCTATAATATTGTGTAGGTAATGATAGAAACGTAACCATATTTCTTCACTTGGCCTAGGACTGGCTGGAATTGTAGGACACCGACTGTTAACCCCTTATAGGCTTATAAAAACTGTGAACCCCAGCAGGAGGACGAGAAATCTGATACTTTTAAAAGCCGCATCGCTGGCAGTGGGATATCTCCTAGTTATCCTAAAATATTATTCGTACCAAGAAATTTTACCTAGATGTTCTGCTTATTTGTAACGAATTTTTCTTGCCGTTTCAAGGGTGCATGTTGTGATAATACCCCAGAACAGTGTATAGTAAGAAAGTAAATACTTTCTTGATCAGTCCAAGAAGGCTTTCTACTAAAGCGATTGCCTTTGTTAACCAAGACTTAGTTGTCTCGTTCTCACCTGCCTTGTGCCAAAGTGTGTACGTCTTACGGTCAATACTACGATACTTTAATTGGTTATATCTGGTTCTTTGGTTGACTATACCTGTTTGCTGTAGGCTTAAATGTCCCTACCTATATTCTGGTTGGTTAGTGTTAAGCTCCTCTACCAGCTGTGATTGATGTAGGTAAAGGTTGCTGTACTGCCGGGGACGCACGAACACCAGCGAACATTTCACGTGATTATCACACGAGTTCATTAAGACTCGGTGAATGTTTTTAAAAAATCTCAAACTTTGAGATGCAATGTTTGTTTTGATGCCGCCGCCAGACCTGCCTTCTGTGCCGACAACAAACAGGGAACGGAACATGCGCCATATGGTGCGTATTCCCAGCGCTCTTAGGTCGGAGCGTGGACTGTGTGAAAACAGTAGTGCATTCATCTGGCTCTGGTACAAGTCTCGTCCTTTGTTATCCTCGCAAGGTGGGGAGTTACTGGTTAGGGTAGAGACTAGTCGTGGTAGACACTAAACGTGTTTTGCTAGTTATTATATACACCTCATAGCGTCTCTAAAGCTAGCCTGCATTTCATTAAATTTCAATAGACGAAGGGAAAAGTATTTTAATTTGTTTATGCAATCATAATATTTGTTGACTTAGTAATTACATTAACATAACACATTTTGTTTTTGCTGTATTATATTTTTAATATGATGTAGTTTAGTGAGATTTTATTTCTTTTCGTGCAAGTTTCGGAGTCGTGTTTTCAAATTCACGTTTGGTCCTCGATTTTGTTTCGTTCTTTGGACAGCCGGTGCTTGTTTTGTAAAACACGTTCTCTAATGTTCTAGTTGACAATGTATGCCGTTCAACTACATAATGTTGACTTCTGTTGTTGCCCTCTCAAGGGCAAAGGTCAAGGCCGATTTTTTCTGTTAGCCGGGAGTTCATTCATGTGCAGTGAAAATGTATTTACAGAATAACTTAACTGAGATTTTTTTGAGGCCGGCTTACGCTGTCAACGGTTAGGGAAAAAAATGACACCCCCCCCCCCCCCAACCTATTATTTCAAACATTCCAGTCCTCGCTTGA